ATTCGGCTCGAGCGGGCCTTCGCGGCGGCTCCGGCGGCAGAAAAGCTGATGTTTGGGAAAGGCTCCCCCCCCCACTTCGTTTTTGCGCCACCTTCCCCCTCCCCGGGCGGGAAGGATGTCATTTTGCCCTCACGTTCTAGTTGAGTATTTTCCCGGCGTGACTTATTATAACCGCCTTGGTTTCACCCTCTCACGGCAAGTGGATGCTACAGCCCCAGTAGGAAAACTGACGTTTGGTAAATTCTAATTGGAAGGAAAAATTCGGCAGTCTTTTTTTTTTTTTCCCCCTTGCTGTGTCTAGACAGATTTGTTGACAACAACGGCATTTTTGCCTTTTTTTTTTTTTTAATTATAGGCAGGGTTGTTTTTTTTTTTTCTTGCTACAACTTCACATCTTGCTTTGAGGGCTTAAACTAGCGATTACAGTTGCCTGAGCTACGTCTGTGTTTTAAAAGCAATATAAATATGGAAGTGAAAATCGAGGGTCACAGCGTTTGACAGTCACGCACCGACCGTGTCCCAGCCCCTGGTGAGGAGGAAGTTCATCAGACAAGTACAAAAAAACCAGTAGCAGCCAGAGGCAGGTCAGAAGGATGACACCTGGAATCGTCAGAAAACCCTTTGCCCCATCCTTTTAGTTTTAAAATGCTAAAAAAATATATATATATAAAAATCAGTAACATCACTGAGTAGGTAGTCTGTACATTCTGTGCTTCTCTTTCAGTTCTTTCATGCTTCACTGTTCTTCCCTTCCCCCCATCTTACTTTTCCTCCTTGTCCCCTATTTCTTCCTTGTTTAATTTCATTAGGCTCATGGGAACGTGGCTCTGTAGCTGTAAAAAGCCGTTCTGCTTGTTCTCATATGCAGTTTCTATTTATTCATATCATGGGTCTTGTGGTTTGTGAGGCAAAGTTTGGTGTAACCCTTACTGGCTTACTTTGGAGGGAGTGTACTGCTGCTAAAAAAAAAATAGGTTGGGCTTCTTTCAAATGTTTTTCATCTGTGAATAGTAGTTTTATACTACAGATTATTAAAGTGCTTAAATTATGTTATTATCGTGGTGTAACAAAAGGAGATTGTGCAAAATGGTGTCAGAAAAATGTGTACAAACATCCCAGGACATTGCCCACGCTTCTAAAATAGCATTTCTTCTGAAGTTAAGTGTGTGTTTTGGTGTATGGGAACGGACTTGTTTCACTTCACAGCAAACCTCATGCATTAGAGGTAGGGTTTTTTTTTTATTATTATTTTAAGATGTGATTGCCATAGATGAGCAGAAGTTATCTAGGAAGGTTTGTTTGGATTTTTCCCCCCCTCCAGTGAATATTATAATATATATGTATATATCCCACTGTATTTTAAAGTTATCTTTGTACGACTGTTTTTATTCTTCAGAAGTAAGTATTTGTCAGCAGTACAGCGTCTTTCTGAGCTCCTGAGTCTTCTTGAAGTAGTGCCAGAGACGGATTTTGGTGATTAGGACGTGAATAACTATAGCGGTCGGAAGACAAAGCCTTTGCTTTTGGAAGCGGCCGTGGGCAGACAGATAGTGAGGCTGTGTTGTGTTGTGTTGTGTGCAGGAAGGGTACCCGGATCGTTTTCATGCACTTGGAAGGATTTTTTTTTTTTTTTTTTTTTTTTTAGTAAGCTGCGTGTCCTGCTATGGGCAGGCAAAAAAAAAAATACTGTAGGTATCAAGTGAATTTCAAAGTTTCCCTGGCACTGTTGAATATTTTTTTTTTTTTTTTTTTTTTTGAAGTTGACTAGAACAGTGTGTCCTTTTGAAACCTTCCGTGTGTCACGTCAGGGAACTGGTCTTACCACCAGCAGTTAATCGGGTTAATGGGCAGCTCGAGTTCGGAGCTCTGGCAGAGATGGCGCGCCTCTTATTTGCACTGTGTGGCTTTAATTTTCTTCCGTGGACGTTCTGACTTGGACTCCCAGAGAGATGCTCTTCAGTGGCAGTGCTTGTAATTACCTTTCAGAATGTATTTTAAAAGATCATCTATTTGTTCCTCATTAGCAACAAAAACCGAGTTAGCAATCTAATGGCATCCTGTAAGATGCTGATTAGACTAAATGAGGGGTTAGGAGTTGCCTTCCACCTCTTTTTATATCAATTTCCTTTTTCCTTCTCCTTTTTTCCTCTTGGCTTTTTTTTTCTGGTGTACACAGGGGTCTTTTTCAGCTTACATTTACAAGGATAAGCTTGAATCCTTCCTCTCCCAAGAACTTGGGTTAAGTTTCTAGTCTTTCAGTTCAATATTACCTTGAGTTACATATTAATAGTGTCCATTTCTGTTTGATCTGAATCTGGAAGCGACTCACGTTCTGTGGAAACGGGCTGTAATGGTCTAAATGCCTTTTATCGTATTCTCTGTATTCCCTGTGTAGCACT